TTGTTGTTGCGTTGGCACCATGCTTGTTTTCAAGCCGGTGGTAAATATATATATATATAGGTTCAGTTTATACAACCGTTACTCATCCGCTTTCGGTAGTTTTGGCTGTTATCTTTTAGCTACCCCTTTGGATGAAAGAGTACCAGGGAAAGCAGTGTCAATGTCAAAATGCAAATTCGGGTAAACTAAGGTTCGGAAGAAATCGAGTAGATGCACGATCGCCACTGTTTACGACACATACTGAAAAACTGTATGCATTGCTTGTCCGTTTGCTCCACCAGACTCCTGCAATGCAGCGTAGACGTGGTCTATCGTGATCCTGGTTAGGCAACCTGGATCCTCCCTTAGCAGAACAATGTCGTCCACATACTTCAGATCGGACATTTCACCACCTGGAAGCAAATCGATATCGCTGTCCTCACGCAAGAACCGGGGTTGTTTCGAGAATCATCATTTGGCATCTTTGCTGTCATCTGGTTCAATACCATGCCTGACCTAACGATGCCTTATACGGTTCGCCGGGGAGTAGAGGTTACCGGTTTCCACCATTGAACAACAGGTCTTCGTGACTATGGTTTTGGCCCCCTCTGCTGTTCATCACACAAGTGTGTAAAAAATTAAAAAGGTTAAATGAAAAAGAAGCAAGGGCAACCCTGACTAGCGGCGCATTATGTGGTGAACGCGGGCGAAACGGAGCCCTATGTTCGAACTCGGATTCGGCCGACAGTATAAAGAGATCGCAATATTGAAATAAAATTATCGAGCACACCCTCCAACAAGAGGCAGAGACAGAGAGCGGGGTGTCCAACTGAGTCAAAGGCCGCCTAGAGATTAAGGAAGTAGAGGTTATTGGTTACGAAAGGAAAGTCTAGAATTTTGCGCTGTGGAAATATAGTGGATGCAACCTCGGCCCAGTCTAAAATCAGGCTGCTTCTGGTGCGTGCATCCATCGATTGCGGTAAACAGTGCCCCGAGTTTAATACCCAAGAGACAAATAAATGCCACCACACGAAAGTTCATGGGTAATGATCCTATAACGTGAAACAAACTAAATGCCAGTATGAAGTTTATTTTTATCGTCCCTTATTCTACTTCCTTTTATTGAGTATTATATTATATTGTATATATTATACAATTTACACGAACCGGGAAGTGGCTAATCAGTGAATTGCCATACAGCACAGAAAGTCAGGCGATGGTGGTGGGATTAGAACACATCCTCTTAAGCGATAAGTTGACCTTTGCCAATTGAGCTATATTGATCAAACTGGTTCCTCTGTGGTTTTCCAAAGAGAACTTATTGTCTTTCTTGTTTATCGGTAGGGTGACTGATTTGCACTATTCATTCGGAACTTGGCCACTTTCTCATATCGACCCCAAGAGTTTTGTCAACTTGAAGGCAAAATCTGAACAATCAGCGGTTAAATCTGATCAGAACAACCTATCTGTATTCCAGGCCTTAAATCTTTTGAATTACCCAATTTCAGAATGACTGATATCATATAGCAGTATTTGCTGAGTTGAAACAAAAGTTGGCAAATCTAATGTTGATAGGGACCAGTTGAATTGTACCTCAACTGTTGTGTCCATTGATCAGGACTGCGTTTCTAAATATCAGTCATTGTGCCATCGGACTCCTTAATTACCTCACTTAAGCCTATTTTGCTCTATCCCGTACTCTTAATTGTATGGAAAGATTACGACTGTTGATCATATGTATGTGTATATTTTGCTGCCCATCACTTCTCTTTACAAACGAGCTTTTAGAGGATTGGTATCTGTCGCTTTGTACTATAGGTATTCATTTTCGTTGACTTTATCACATATGTTCATCAGGTGTGGGCGAAATCGGACTCGTTACTAAATATGTTCCTTGGTCACGGGCTTCGACCAGTTAGGGCGGTACTCTTGAATGGATCCTCGCCAGCGGTGGCTGACGACAGCGGGATCAGTTAACGTCCAGCATCGGGAGGAGTTGAGGGGTTTTTGTATAAAGCCTCACCGCATCTTCTAGGAGAGATTAGTGCTTAATAGTGGTCTGCTCAAAATTGAAGTCGGCGATCTTCGTTGTCCGTCCAGTTGTTCGTAGGCACCTTTCTGATTCGTCTAAGGATTTCTCTTGAGCGTTGAGGTCGTCAGTGACTACTACGATGTCCGTTGGCGCAACACATCGGATCAGTTGTGAAAGATCTTTGTAAAATTCATACCTCATTTCAGGTGCACTGCAGTCGGTCGGTTCGTACACGAACTCAACGATTAAACACCGGCGTTTCATTTAGTTGCTGTTGACTCGTATTGAACTGCCAAGATATACAGCGCTTCTGACTAAAGTCCGGACTCGCTTCAGCGGTTCTCCTTCCATTGACCGTCTCTCGTCCATCTCGTTCTCAGGCGACCAGTCACCCTTATCAGGTTTCTGTCTCCATATGTCGGACTTCTATCTTTCAATCTTCTTTGTTCTCGAGGACTGCAAAATTATGGAACCTCACCCTTTTCAGAAGCAGGATTAACAAATTGGTTCTTACCTGAATGTTCCCCCACATACCTCCCCCTTACAGTATATCGTTGGTTATGAGATATACTCCTTTTGCTGTAAATCACTTAGTGTGTAATAAAAAATAAAAAAATTCAAAAAACGAGCACTAAGCTTTAGTGCTTAGCGTAATTCAAATACCACTAACGCCTTGAGCGTCATATGCCGACTCGCCTGATACACAGAGTGAAGTGTGAGGGTGAGGTTAAGTAGGCAAAACGCGGTGGGATAATTGGAGTAGAGACGCAGCATACTTCGGAATTGAAAGTTTCCGGGATTCTAGCTAAGACTGCTTGTTGACCAATCTGAAAGAGTATAGGTGCAACTAAGCGAGGAGGAAATCTGGTTTCGGCAATCCAGAAATTCGACTGGTTCACCTTACTAATTAGACTATGAGTGATTTATTCTGAGTGACAGAAGCCGGAGGCATCTGATATTATTTGAGAGGAAGGGTCAGACAGATAAGAAGGGTTTACAAATGAGTGCATGAGACTTGAGGGTACGAAATAGTTCGCCGTACCCTATGAAGGGTTTTTTCCTTGGGAATCCTGACCAGATCATTCGACTCCAAAGTTTGACCCGCTTGATAGTAAGGTGTAAACCCAACATGGGAACAGTCGAAGCACCCACGTTTTAGCTTCTAGAGACCTATCACGCAAGACCTTGGGGTTTCGTTCCAGTGTTTCTTTTGTTGATGTGTTGATTGACAGTCCACCCTTAACCTCATGCACCCAAGGAACCCGGCGGAACTTGAACGAAACAGCTACCTATTGAATGTTTGCAGTCCCGCTCTTATGCCCATCTAGCGGGTTTCTGACTAGCAACCTGCTCCTTCCCGTGGTTGTTTACTGTAGGGACCTCCCAGGGGCGAGTGAATAGTCAAAGAAGCCAAATGCCCAATCGGCCCGCCTTGTTAGACTGAGCTATATCTGGCTTCTACCCATTGACCTTTTGGGCATAGTTGGCCCTGCTGCTATGAGAAGCCATGATGTATAGTTCGCAGACTCATGGAATCGCGCAAGTGGTCACACTACGTCAAATCAGGCTCTTGATGATTATTCAAACCCACTTACAAAAACTTGGTCGTCCATATTAATTTCAGTCGATTCACTATTTACTATGCATGTCGAAAATCAGTTCCGTCATCTTTTCCCCGTTCAACCTTTACGTATGCTCTTACGCTAAATTAGTTTTGTATTTTACTTGTTATTATGTTACCTTTGGATTTTTCTTCCGTGTTTAGGCTCCCGGGGAAGCCGAAGCTCAATGCGCAGCATTGGCCAAGGCGGGTAAGGTCTTTGCCGTCGGTACTGAAGATATGGATGCGTTGGCGTTCGGGACCCCTGTACTTCTTCGGCATTTGACGTTCAGCGAAGCCAGGTTGGTTTTTCTGGTTTCTCAAAAGAGAGTATTTTCTATTGGATTTTGTCTTCTTGTACCGTATTTTAGTAATATTAATGTTATCAGTGTGGTTAATGTTCGCTTCTCACAGCCGTAGATCCAATCATGCCTGAAAGGTCATAGGGTAGAGGCCAGATAAAGCTCGGTCTCACAAAGCCAGCTGCTTGGGCACCTCCTGGCTTCCCTCCTATCCACATCCGCCCCCTGGAGAGGCCATTCCAGCAAATAAACACGATGA